TGAACCGTAACACTTTGTTATTTTGGATTTGTTTAAATTCGTTACCATTGTAACCCGGAAATTCAGATACATCAGAATCTCCGAATAACAAAATTTTTTTCCGAGTTTTAATTGAGAACAAATTGAGCCACGCATGTATAGTATTGACTAAGCAGTAAAATGCAAGTGATGTAGATCTCCCTAAGCTACTCAATTCATATCAAGTGAGCCTCTTAGATCAGGCCAGGTGGTTGCCTAACACTGACAAATTTTGGATGGATACAGAAACATACTACCTACAAAAGAGTAACCTCATGGAGTAACTTGAGGACTACTAGCAGCGAGAACTGGGGCACCCATCCCAGAGCTGCTACTACTTAGCTTTAAAGTCCCTGTGATGACATGGAAACCAGAGCTGTCCAGAACTTCATCAAAATCCCAACAAAAGGTCCTTCTCCCTTTTGAATCCCTAAAATTCTTTATACCCAACCTAGCTATCACTTAGCAACTTGTGCTCTTTAGGAATTATGACATGACACAACCTATATGTAGGTCCTAGACCTAAATTCTTTGACCACTGATATGTATAAATAGAATTAAATAGTACATCTGCTGACAACAACTCATTGTAATATTGCATACAACATAGATACAGCTATTCATCAAATCCTGAGCACTAACACTCAAAATAAAATAAATGTCCCATTTTTCACTTAACTAGTCATTCACAAAAGTTTTTTTTAAAAGATCCACACAATGTTGAAATGGAAATCTGAATCAGGAAAGTTTTTTTACATAGATACCCAATGACAGTATGCAGTTCAGAGCTTACTGCACTGCTCACATTGCTCCTCCCACTGAGAACTATGTTTGAACCTCACTCAGAAATATTTTACACTATTTAAGCTATCTAAATTCCCTACATCCCTTTCATCATTGAAGTGTTGGTTTTGGAGACAATGTGGACCTGAGAATTCTTTCCTCCATCTTGTGGCATTGTAAATATCTTTTTTGAAAAGAGATTTTCTCCATTATTTCTGAACCAATACCCAATCCAATGACTTACCTTGTCTCTATTTAGGCATAAATAAGTTTGCCCTTTCTCATAGAACCATAATTACTCATTTACTCCTAGCCACAAAATCAAGCACACACTATATTGCCAAAAGTATTGGGATGCCTGCCTTTACACGCATGTGAACTTTAATGGCATCCCAGTCTTAGCTTGTAGGGTGCAATATTGAGTTGGCCCACCCTTTGCAGCTATAACAGTTTCAATTCTTCTGGGAAGGCTGTCCACAAGGTTTAGGAGTGTGTCTATGGGAATGTTCGACCATTCTTCCAGAAGCGCATTTGTGAGGTCAGGCATTGATGTCAGATTAGAAGGCCTGGCTCGCAGTATCTTCTCTAATTCATTGCAAAGGTGTTCTGTCAGTACTCTGTACAGGCCAGTCAAGTTCCTCCACCCCAAACTCGCTCATCCATGTCTTTATGGACCTTGCTTTGTGCACTGGAGCGCAGTCATGTTGGAACAGGAAGGGGCCATCCCCAAACTGTTCCCACAAAGTTGGGAGCATGAAATTATCCAAAATGTCTTGGTATGTTGACACCTTTAATTTTTCCCTTCACTGGAACTAAGGGACCAAGCCCAACCCTTGAAAAACAGCCCCAGACCGTAATCCCACCTCCACCAAACTTTACACTTGGCACTATGCAGTGAGGCAAGTACTCTTCTCCTGGCAACAACCAAACCCAGACACGTCCATTGGATTATCAGACAGAGAAGTGTGATTCATCACTCCACTGCTCTACAGTCCAGTGGTGGCGTGCTTTACGCCACTGCATCCAACGCTTTGCATTGCACTTGGTGATGTAAGGCTTGGATGCAGCTGCTCGACCATGGAAACCCATTTCATGAAGCTCTCTATGCACTGTTGTTGTGCTAATCTGAAGGCCATGTGAAGTTTGGAGATCTTTAGCTATTGACTCTGCAGACAGTTGGTGACTTCTGCATACTGTGTGCTTAAGCATGCATTGACCCCGCTCTGTCATTTTACGTGGCCTGTTTTTATGAGTTTCTGTTGTTCCCAGTTGCTTCCACTTTGTTATAATACCACTAACAGTTGACCATGCAATATTTAGTAGCAAGGAGATTTCATGGATGGACTTATTGCACAGGTGGTAACCTATCACGGTACCACGCTTGAATTTACGGAGCTCCTGAGAGCGACCCATTCATTCACAAATGTTTGTAGAAGCAGTCTGCATGCCTTGGTACTTGATTTTATACACTTGTGGCGATGGAGGTGATTGGAACACCTGAATCCAATGATTTGGAGAGATGTCCCAATCTTTTTGGCAATATAGTGTAGCTAAGAAATGAACGAGCTCTACAACACCTAATATTCTGAAAGTGTTAATAATTTAAACACCCAATGTGCCATTGAAAGAATGTCAAAAGATAACTCTGATGACAAGTTCCAATATCAATGAAACAGTTGACTTAACCATCCTAGATGCAACTCTAATAACAAACATTCACCTAAATATAGTATCTCTCATCTTTCAAAATCAGGAGATATTCATTAACATTTGCCACCAAATAAAGGCCCAATTTATTCTGGGTTAGAGCACTAGAATTTTATTTGTGGTTAGTGCAACATCCAATTGCCTTTTGTTTCTTAATGACACACATGCTATTTTGCACAATTTTCTTCACATGCATCAAGAAAATGTGTTATAAAAAAAAATAAAAAGTACACTGAATGAAAATGAGATTGATGTTTTGTAGTTCTACAGTGCAGACACACATTTATATACAGTAGCTGCAAAAAATCTAGCAAACAATTCAAGTAAAAACCTAACTGGAAGACATCTAGATTTCTGCATTACAGTGTATCATACATATCAAACATTTGCCATTGTTAAGACAAAAAAAAATGTATTTTCTTCTTTACTATTTTTTCTTGCATCTCAGTGCCTCGGCTCTTCTTCAGCTTCATTCTATCTACATACTCTATGTGCACTACAGCAATGGCTGAATGACATTTCTCATGGTGGGTTTCTTGATGGTGACAACAGTGGAACAGGACTAATGTATGTTATCTCCATCAGAAGCCCATGTGAAAAGGTGATAACACAGGAGCAAAATTTAAAGACAGGAAGAATGCCTTCTAAAAGGGCATTAATAGTAAGATCACCAAATATGTTATTAAAATCTGTAGACTGAAAAATATTGAAATTAACTTTTCAAATGACATTAACATGATAAAACTTAAATTAGTACTATTTATAGTCTATATATCCTTAATCTTTAAAATCTGTCAGGTTATTTTTGACATTACAACACTACACAACATAGAACAGTTGTAGTTTTTTTGTTTACGGACCCACAAATATTTTTTAGATGGCAGTGGCTACAGCAATTGATAAATATGGCACAAAATTCACTATAATGTTGAAAAATCTTTCCGGTTGTAACTATATGAAATCTATAACTGTAATTTGTATTTGTTTACAGACACATTGATTTCCAACTGCCCCATGTAGCTTTACTGCTACAGGGCGGCCGCTCTGTGCAGAATCACATATATGTACTTAATTTTGCTTTTCCTGCGCATGCCCACTTACTAGCGCTGTCATTGGCTCCCTTACATTTCAAACACCAGGTCCTGGCTAACAATTGATGGCTGGGACCCAGTGATCAGCAGAGCAAGTGACAGGAGAGAGATCTGTGTATCTAAACAACACAGATCTCTCTCCTGTCAGCGGGGTTGTGCCAGTTTTTTTGCACAGCAAGGAATACAAATAAGCACATCCTCTTGTAAAACAGCACACAGTACCCACACAATAACACTCCCTGGCATACAGTTAACCCTGTGATCGCACCAGATATTAACCCCTTAATGCCTAGTGTCATTAGTACAGTGACAGTGCTTTTTATTAGCACTGATCATTGCATTAGTGTCACTGGTGAGGTCAGTGGCAGTTATCCTGCCTGCTGTACTATCACAGTCCCACTATAAGCCGCTGATTGCTGCCATTACTAGTATAAAAAAAAAAAACAACAGTATCTATGCCGTTGTTTGTAGACGCTATAATTTTCATGTAACCCAATTAATATACACCTATTGGGATTTTTTTTTACCAAAGACATGTAGCAGAATACAATTTGACCTACATTTAAGAAGAAATTTATTTTTTTATGTTTTATAACAAAAGTAAAAATATTGTTTTTTTTTTTCATTTTTGGTCGTTTTTCATTTAAATAAAAAACACGGTGGTGATCAAATACCCCCAAAAGAAAGCTCTATTTGTGTGAAAAAAAATATGAATTGTATACAGTGTTGCATGACCAGTTGTCAGTTGATCATTGTCATTTAAAGTAGTGCAGCTCCATACAGTATAGCAAATAATGGGCTGGACTTATACCCCCTTATTTACCAGGCCAATTTTCAGCTTTCAGCGCTGCCACACTTTGATTGACAATTGCGCGGTCATGCAACATTGTACCCATATGAAATTTTGATCATTTTTTTCTCACAAATAGAGCTTTCTTTTGGTGGTATTTAATCGCCACTGGGCACTTTACTTTTTGCGCTATAAATAAAAAAAGTGCAAAAAATTTGAGAAAAAAAAAAGTTTTTGTTTTTATTATAACATTTTTCAAACAGGTATTTTTTCTCCTTCACTGATGTGCGTTGAGGCAGTACTGATGGGCACTGATAGGCGGCACTGATAGGCAGCACTAAAGGGCACTGATAGGCAGTACTAATGAGGTGGCACGGATAGGCAGCACTGATAGACAGCACTAATGAGGTGTCACGGATAGGCGGCACTAATATGCAGCACTGATAGGCGGCACTGATAGGTGACACTGATGATGGGTACTGATAGACGGCACTGACTGGCATCACTGCTGGGCACTGACTGGCGGCACTGACTGGCACAACCCCTGGGCACTGACTGGCAGCACTGCTGGGCTGCACTGGTGGGTGGCACTGGTGGGCAGCACTGGTGGGTGGGCACAGGTGGGTGGCACTGGTGGGCACAGGTGGGTGGGCACAGGTGGGTGGCACTGCTGGGCACAGGTAGGTGGCACTTCTGGGCACAGGTGTGGGACACTGCAGAGTGGCACAGGTGGGTGCACTGCTGGGCACAGGTGGGTGCACTGCTGGGCACAGGTGGGCGGAGCTAGTGGGTGCACTGCTGGGCAGGGTGGCACTGCTGGGCACCGATCATCAGGGCACTGATCATCAGTGCCCTGATGATCGGTGCCGATCCCCGCTCTGACAACTGCCGGTTCTCGGCAGTACTTTCCTCACGATCTGACAGCGTGAGGAAAGTGCAGCCGAGAACCGGCACTTGCATTTCCCTGTGATCAGCGTGTCATTGGACACCGCTGATCACGTGGTAAAAGGCCGCTGTGATTGGCCTTTTACCACATCACGTGATCACAGCGATTACGGAGACCGCCGGGTGCGCGCCCCCTGGGGCGCGCAGCAGGAGAGTGCGTTCTGGGAGGACGTCATATGACGTCCACCCAGAACTGGCCGGCCGCAGTGCAGCCGTCATTCGGCTATCTGCGGTCGGCAGCTAGTTAAGGAAAGAATTTCTAGCAAAGCCTTGAAATACATGTAAATAAATTGAAAGAGGTCAATTGTCAACTGCTAAAAAAAAAAATGGATAACAAGTGGTGCACAGTGCCAAAACTTAGTGGTATTTTTCCTTAACTGCTTCCAAAACCACATGTGTATATAGGTGATTTTGTATTCTCCGGAAGGGGGAACGCATACGCCACCCTACCCGTGCCACCATTGGCAGCTACAGCTGTCGATCACCGGGTCCCGGCCGGCGATTACCCGCTGGCACCTGGCGATCACTGAGGAGCACCGATGGGGGAGAGGTCTGTATGTAAACAATACAGATCTCTCCCATCAGCTCCAGCACACTGCTTTGTATTGTACTGCATAGCAGAGCAATACAAAGCAGCGTGCTTACACAGTAAAACAGGCTACTTTCACACTGAGGAGTTTTTGAAGCATTTTTACGTTAAAAAAAGTGCCTGAAAAGCTCCAGTAAAACGCTTTTCTATGTATGTGAATGTATATCTATGTATTTTTTCACAGTGAGACATTGTGCTTGTGTAAAAACTCCTGCTTGCAACATCTTTGGGGTATGTTTTGGTGAGCTAAATAAAAAGCCCCAAAAACGCCTCTTCCCATTGCAATGGAAAATGGCTGAAAAGCGCCTGAAAAACACCTCTAAGAAGTGTTTTTGGTGCAGTTTTTAAGTCACGTGTCCTTCAAAAATGCTCAGAAAGCACTGCAAAAGCGCAGTGAAAACGCCTATGCTTTTTTGCTGTGTTTTTGTGGTGGATCAGCACACAGTTAAACCTTTGATCGGCCCAGATGTTAACCCCTTCCTGCCCAGTGTCATTAGTACAGTGTCAGTGCTTTTTATTAGCACTGATCACTGTACCGGTGTCACTGGGGATGTCAGTGACTCCCCCAGTGTCAGAATCCCTGCTGTAGTCCCGCAGTCCCACTAGGAGTCGCTGATCACTGCTATAACTAGTATAAAAAAATGTTTCTAATTCCAGTGTATCTATACCGCCATTTGTAGACGCTATAACTTTCACATAAACCAATTAATTTACAAGTGCTGGGATTTTTTTTAGCAAAGACATGTAGCAGAATATATTTTGGTCTAAATTTATGATGAAATTTGATTTCTTTTTATTTTTCTACTGGACATGTTTAATAGCAAAAAGTCAAAAATATAGTTTTTTTTTCTCAAAATTGTCAGTATTGTTTTGTTTATAGCATAAAAAATAAAAAACACACAGGCATTCAAATACCACTGAAAGAAAGCTCCATTTATGGGAAAACAATGACGTAAATTTAATTTTGGTACAGTGTTGCATAACCATGCAATTGTCAGTTAAAATGACGCAGCGCCGTATCGCAAAAAATTACCTGGTCAGGAATAGGGGGTAAATCCTTTGGAGGGCAAGTGGTTAATTACCTATTTTCTACTATAAATTACAGTTTAGGCAAACTCATGTGTTCACCACTGGTGATTATCCTGATAAGGTGATCCCAGTGTCCAGTTTGTTTTGTTCACATAGGACGTCCATATGTGACTTGATCACCCAGGATAACTAGCTAAACTTAAATAGGTAGACTGGGACAGAAAGCTATGTCAAAGTGAAGAAAATATTAAAATTGCATTGTAAATATGTTACTGATAGAAAATATTTATTATAAAATATGAACTTGTACTTTAATGTATAAGCCTAACATTTTAGTCAAGTCAGTGTCAAAGGTTTTATGTTAGACAGAAGTGTCAGCTGTTATGTTACGGAACGGCATACAAGCTATTTTTCTTGACTCCACTTTTATATAAGACCCTTGTTACACTACATACAATATGTTAACAGTTACCCCTTTATTAGCATAGGAATTTGCTTTTCATTGTAAAGTTCTTGTATAAAAACAAACGTACAAAAGAACATTTGCAGAGAATGTCATTATGAACTATAATTTAAGGGCAGTTGACATCTTAGACAGTTTTCCTGCTGCTGCCAACGTAATGTAAAAAGATAAACATAGTGATTGAAACTGCCCATAAAGCACACAATAGTGGTTCGCTGTTAAAACAGCCATTAAATAATTGTGGGCTAGAATGCAAACCCCATTGGGAATTAGTTTACTCGTTCCAGCGGAACTATAATCCTTGCTTTGTGAGATTGTATTTAACATAAAACATAACAAAATATTTTCAGTGATCTATATCTACTTGACTTTTGGCCCCAGTGAACATGCCATAAAACTGCAATTTATACAAACTCCAAAAAAATTATCTAAACTTTTTCTTACTGTCACACAGTTGAACTATTTCTAAAACTATAGCAAATATATATTTTTTAAATTCATTGCGGATAAAGGAACTCACAATTTGCCAAGAGTTGCATGTGGCCCAATAATATGCAATGTTCCCAATTTCAGATCAAGTCCTTTCTGATATCTTGAGGGATGCTCAAGAACCTTAAGCAGTTGTGAGTAGGTGATCATTAGTACAAAGGGAGAGTTCCAGCTTATTGGTAAAAATTGTCTATCCAACCCTTCGCCATAGAGAAGTGAGAAGGATCAAAGTGCCTCAGCTGTGTTAATACTTAATTAAAATTATCATTGCCAGTCTCAGTTTACCAACTCCCCTCCTCTCCCCACCAAAAATGCATACTAATGAATGGTTTCTAAGGAAGCTGCAGGTGCTGGCATCCACAGCATCCCTAGGAACCACTGAAGTTACGGAGAATCACCACTTCTTTTAAGTAAATGGGCAGGGATAGCAGTGATATCACCATGCAAGTATGATCATTGGTCAATGATTTCACCACTATGCCTACCCCTTCCCTTATATAGCTGATGACAGCTCAGGGAGTTATCATTCTCTAGTGCCTGTTGAGGATTAGTCGTGTGCAATGGATCATTGGGAGTTTTTTTGGGAAAGTCATCAGGTGGTGAGCATTGTCATTGGCAATGAATTTACAGTGAAGGATATTTTTGTTATTTTTTTGTTTTTTCTCTATGTTACAACTGCATGCTTGCATTAACAGTCTGCTATGGATGTTTAAGACATTTTTTGTGTGGAGTCCCCCTTATAATCCATACCAAGCATCTGTAAATGGCAGACCGTGGTCCATATCCGGACCTAGCCACTGTCCCTTTAGGACCCGCCCATTGCAGCTGCCATTGAGAAGACAGAGTGGGAGGCAGGATAGTAATGTACAGGGGAGGGAGGCAGCGCCGCATTGGATGGGGGTGGGAGCAAGCTGCGTGAATTAATTCCTACCTTATACAGATTGGAGAGCAAGAGGCACAGCTACACTGAATAGAGGGTGAGAGCGGGAGCTGCATGAGTTAACTTTCCAGATTAACTAGCAGGTGATTGGTTGCTAGGACCACCCGGCGTTCCTAGCGACCAATCACCAGCTAGTTAATACGAAAAGCTTCCACTACTGCTCTCCATTCAGTGTGGCTGTGCCTCCTGCTCTCTGTGTAAGGTAGGAGAGAATTGGCAAGATGACATGGCTGTGAAGGTGGGGGGGTCATGTGAAGGGGGCAGTGCTGTGTGCGTAGGGGGTGATTTGAAGGAGGGCAGATGTGAAGGGGCAGAGCACACTATAGGGGGAGGTGGAGGAGTGAAAGCGGAGCAGTGCTGTAGGGGAAGGTTGATGTGGAGGGTGGCAAGTGCAATGGGGGGAGATGTAAAGGGAAACGGTACTGTGGAGGGTGATGTGAAGGGGGGGGTAAGTGCTGGTGGGGTAGGAAGATGTGATGTGAAGGGAGTCAGTGCTGGTGGGGAGGGGATATGTGATGTGAAGGGAGACAGTGCTGATGGGGAGGGTAGATGTGATTTGAAGGGGGAGCAGTGCTGGTGGGGAGGGGATATATGATGTGAAGGGAGACAGTGCTGGTGGGGAGGGGATATGTGATGTGAAGGGAGGCAGTGCTGATGGTGAGGGGAGATGTGATTTGAAGGGGGAGCAGTGCTGGTGGGGAGGGGATATGTGATGTGAAGGGGGGAAGTCCTGGTGGGGTGGGAAGATGTGATGTGAAGGGAGACAGTGTTGGTGGGGAGGGGATATGTGATGTGAAGGGAGGCAGTGCTGATGGGGAGGGGAGATGTGATGTGAAGGGTGGCAGTGCTGGGGGTTGATGAAAAGGGGGGCAAGTGTTATGGTGGCAGAGATGTAAAAGGGGGGGTGCTGTGGGGGGGTAGTAAAGGGGAGCAGTGCTCTTTGGGATGTGAAGGGGACAGTGCTGTGGGACGAAAAAGTGAAGTAGAGTAGTGCTGTGTTGGGAGACCTGAAGGGAGCAGTGCCATAGGGGAGAGATGTGATGTAAAAGGGGGGGAAGTGCTGTGGAAAGGTGATGTGAAGGAGGGCAGTAGTGCTGGGGGGGAGGAGGGGGCAGTGGACACTAATGTGAAGGGGGGGGACTAAGGACACTGATGTAAAAATGGGATTGTGATATAAAATGAGGAGGTTGTGATGGTAAGGATCTGAGACATCGCACAAACATTCAATTTGGACCTCTGTTTGAAGAAAATTTTACTGATGGGACCTCCATGAATTTTAATTCAATTCCCCTGATCTAGACCAATCCCAAAGGGTCTGCTCTTAACATCATTGAGTTTGTCTGGGATTACATGAAGAGACAAATGGATTTGAGGCAGCCTACATCCACAGATCTGAAGATCTGTGGTTAGTTCTCCATGTTTGGAACAACCTACCTGTTGAGTTCCTTCAAAAACTGTGTGCAAGTGTACCTAGAAGAATTGATGCTGTTTTGAAGGCAAAGG